ACAGTGCAAGTTATAAGAGAGGTTGACGCTAGTGGTAGGCCCACGGCGCCCAGGACTGTCATTGGCAGATGGTCTAACTGCTGCGGGATAGCGGCACGTGAGAACTTCGGGATCCTCCATAAAGATATCGGGAAGGTCACAGAAGCCGAGAAAGAGCGAGCTTGGACGGCAATGGAGAAATGGTTCACATTTCCAGCCGAAGCAAAGGATAGGCTCAAGCGGAAGGCATTCCAAAAGATGGGCAAAGCTTGGAAGAATTGGAAGTCGAAGCTCTTCACCGAGTATGTCAACCCGCCCGGCAATCATACGCCGTTCGATGAATACCCTCAAATAACCGAAGCGGTGTGGGAGGAATTCTGCTCTCTCAAGACCACCCAAGAGTTTAGGGAATCCAGCGAGGCACATCGCGTACTGCAACAGCGGAATGAGCACCCGCATCGGCTGGGCACCGCAGGGTACATCGGCAAGGAGGCAATATGGGCCCAAGAAGATGCAGCCGCTGCAGCAGCGAATGTCCCTGCCCCGTTTTCAGACATCCCTGAACAAAGAGCTCGCAACTGGGCGCGGGCAAGGGGTAAGGTCAACCCGGACGGCTCTGTCACATTTGAGAACAAAAGTGATGCCGTCGTCTATCAGGAACTGGTGAGTTCACTACTTAACCTAACTAATTTCCGTTCGTATAAAGTACAAGTTCGTATAAACGACTATCTTCTTTTCTAGTTGGGCTTGGTTGCTGAACAAGCTTCACAAAGCGAGGTTGAGTCCGCGCCGAAGAGGCGCGAAGATGACATCCTCACAAAGGCGCTCGGAACCAAAGAACATCCTGGCCGAACTCGGGGAATTGGTAGCGATGTGCCCTGGAAGCATGGACTCCCTCAGTACAGCTCCCAATACAGGAAACGGAAAGTCTCCAAGGAAGAGAGGGACGCTCGTTTGAAGGCCGAACTTAAGGTTGAGGTCATTCAAGAACTAGAAGCTAGCATGAATGCAAGGGTGGAAGAAAGGGTTAACAAGGTGCTCGCCGACATGAATATACCCCGAGTCACAACACCTGCTGTGCAACCAACTCCTCGTGTACAACACGACGCGAGTCCGTCACAGCATAGGAGTAGTTGTGCATCCACAGAGGTGCCGGCCCCTGGTCTCCCGATCGCACCACTAGCTGCAGTGGACCACATCGAGGTAATTGTTGTTATCCGATCCATATCTAATAAAAGACATTTACACATTCCAATATTAAATTCAAACTTTCACCTTATGCAGGGCGCAGCACAGTGTGTCCTACTAGCGAGAGTCCACCCAACTTTCGCTCCTGAAGTCGCTGAGGGCATGGCTTTCAAGCCCTCGGTTACTGACAAGGTCCACGGCGCAGACCTGCTAGCTGGGTATGCCAAGGTGTCCATCGATACAGTAAAGGACACCTGGTCAGGCTATCCGCTGCCCGTGCCCCCAAATGATGAAATCATGACTTTGGGCGATGCGCGCAAGACGTTCATACAATGGCCTAAAGAAGACATAGTTGTGAAGATGACTCCTCGTCCAAGTCGACCGACGGAGCTTACACCTCCCAAGTCTAAGCTATCAATTGAGGCTCCCCGTGGACCGGCATTGTCAGTACCTCATTCTCCCGGTGGAGCTGATATGGACTTGGCAGATATAGCTCAAAGCTTGGCTCCAATAAAGACCACAAGAAAGGCCGATAGCTCCCCACCACTTGTCAAGGGCCAGAAGCGTGAACGAGGCAAGGGGAAGGTCGGGGAGTTGGCGCCGGAGCCAAAAAGGGGCAAGGCTGCGACGTCGATGCCGGTGAGCAAATCGGGGAAGGTCGTGAGGGCGCCATCCCAATTTGAGCTAGGCATGCCATTGGTGGAGGACAATGTGTTAGCTGTGATGGGTATTGCTTGCCGAGAGCTACATAAGCAATACATGGAGCTAAGCAATGCCAAGCGGAAAATGAGAGAGTCATCCATAGTTGGACATCACGACCACCAGCCGTTCCTATCGTCGCCTGCCTATATAACTATAGGCTTTGATGACCTCTTCGACCTTTTCAGGATCCGGAAGTTGGACACTGGTCTTCTAAAATGCTACTCCTTGTAAGTGCATACCTTCTATACTTGTGATATGACTGGACTATATCTCCTAATTAAATTAGTTCTAATACGTAAATATTTTAAGGTTGTGTTGGATCGAGAGTCGTCGCCATGGTAATCAGGTTGGGTTCCTTGATCCATCCATGGTGAATGAGGTTAATTTACAACAGAGCTCCACTGAGGTGGTTGACTATGTCAACCGGTGTTTATGGGCCCATCAAGACAAGGAGTACATCATGTGCGCACACAACCAAGAGTAAGAGGACAATACCCTTCGTGTATATTGTTTTTGAAGTTAAGGTTCTTAGTACTAACGCTACATAACCACTGCGCAGGCGACATTGGATTCTCCTAGTCATCGTACCTAAGTGGAGTAGGGTTACCTACCTTAACTCCAATAAGTCCAAAGATTATGATTTCAGTGAAATCACCAAGGCCTTAAATATGGCTTGGGGCCCATATGTGGAAAAGGGTGGTAGGCACAAGGAGGGCAAGAACGAACTTTATCATGACACCAAGTTTGCATGCGCACAACAGATCGGAGACCAATGTGGTTTCCACGTGTGCCACAACATGTCAACACTTCTAAGAGAGGTGAAAGATTTCGACCCTGAGGTTGTTGCTAATGGCGAATAAGCTCATTTCAATATCTACATTGCTATTCAAAACGTGCTAATTAACCTCTTATTTATTAAACAGAAAGGTAGAGCTGGCTTCAAGATCTCACCCATCAACCCCCCCGCTATCAGAGGCGAATTGTGTGCCTTTATTCTTGCAGAAATAATGAACAAGAAAGGACGTTTTCATGCCAAATAGACTCATGAACTTGGCTAGATAATTTATTGTGATGTAAAAAAGATGTTTTTATAATTTCTGGCGATGTAAAAAATTATGTTTTTATAGAGTGCAATGTAATTTACTTTCATATGTGCAATATTTATGGTACTTTACTAAATTGTCATCACATTTGATCAACTACGATTTATATTGTACTATTCATCTGTTTTCTCCTTTTTTTTCCCTTATTGACAGGTTGTGGAGGTTCACAACGAACAGAATAAAAGAAATTTTGGTAATCATTTGAGGACTTTCATGGGGTATGAATTGTGTGCTATAATAAATTAAATTGTTGCATATGTGATGTTGTAAATTGTTGCTTTGTGATGGATCTGTGATATGTGATGCATCTGTGATGTTGGGCAGTTGGGGAATATGTGATATGGAGGGGGGGTGACTGGCACCTGTGATGTTTCTGTTTTTCAGAGGGCATGGCTAGCAATTCCTGAGGCTAGCCAATATTTAGCATTTATTTTTTTTCTGGAATTAACTCATCAGTGACGGTTCGGAAGAAACATCCGTCACAGGTAACCTCACCTGTGACGGACTCGCAAACGTCGGACCGTCACAGGTGACCCACCTGTGACGGGCTTTTACTTTCGGGCCCGTCACAGGTGGGTCACCCTGTGACGGCTACTATATACCGGAGATCATCACCTCTGACGGGCCTTTATTTAGGGGCTCGTCAGAGATGAGACACCTGTGACGGGTCCTAACAAGCCCTAGTCTAGCTTAGACCAACACCTCTGACGGCCTTCTATTAACTTGCCCGTCAGAGGTGGATGTCACCACTGACGGCCGGCCACCCGTCAAAGGTGACTGGACTTACCAGTGACCACTGATCATTGACCAAGCCCAAAACCGTCAAAGGTGAGGGTTTGGGCCCGTCACAGGTGACCTTGACCAGTGTAGTGAGGTAGTTATAACCATACACTAATACAGTGTTATACGAAGGTAATATGTATTGGCACTATTCTTAAACATCTGCATTTACGATAAATTATATTTATTTATTATGATAGCTTTAAAAAATGACATATTTACGACTTTTCAATAATGTACATAGTCTTTACTTTCAAAAAAAGGCGACGACTTACCTCACACCACCACTTCAAAAGTACCATATATATATAGAAAATATTGGCCTATCCATCGCGAGCAATTTGGACTAAGCCATGTACTTTGCAATACAATAAGTTTTAACTGATCATTATTGCACGATCGTTAATGAAGTTGCATAAACGTGAGCTAGCTATTCAACAAGAGTACTTAGCGGTTTTTAGCCGCATGCATCCTATTGATAGAAAAAAGGTTATGGATCATGCATGCTAATGCACACAGGAAGAGACGAGAGATCAGACCATGCATACATGCTTGGTACATTCGTATGTCGGTCTTCTTACTACCCTTTTTTTTGACAAATTGACCCTTTTGGAAAACTTATTTCGAAACTAACCCCTGCCAAAAACTTCAACCAAAAATAGGCCGTCGCCTCAGCGCCAAACACATTGGCGCTGACGTTGGCCGTGTCAGCGCCAACGGGACTGGCTCTGACATTGTGCCACCGTGGCGGCCGGGCCGATCCCCAGCTGACGTGGCAGCTGCCTCAGCGCCAACCGGACTGGCGCTGAGGTGGGACTTGGCCGCAACCCCAAGGCCCAGACCAGCAAGCCTTCTGGATGGCTTGCGGGCTGGGACCTCAGCGCCAGCCATAATGGCGCTGACCGTGGGACACTCAGCGCCAGCCCACCTGGCGCTGAGGTGGGACTTGGCCGTTTCGGCCTTGGCCCAGCCCAGCAAGCCTTCTGGATGGCTGGGCTGGGACCTCAGCGCCAGGTGCACTGGCGCTGAGTTTGGACATGTCAGCGCCATTTAGCATGGCGCTGACGTCCCAGCCCTGCTAAACTTTAGCAAAACTTTGCACACAACACAGGCAAACATCAAATCACAAAAATTTACAGGCAGTAATATATCCAGAGAACCATACAATACATACATCCATCCATCAATCCCAACATCATTCCATACATCCATAGAATCCATCAATACATCCATATATGAAGTCCATACATATAAGAAATAAAAACATCCCATCGATCCTCGTCTATACATCCAGTCGAGTCCATACATCCAGTCCATACATCCATCGAACCATGCATCAAGTCCATCCATCTATCCATCCATCCATTGAACCATGCACTCACCTCCTCCTACCTCTAGTGCGAGGATGAGGCATGTCGGGGGTGTACCTCCAGTCCTGCGAAGGAGCCCGCCGGCGTCGTGGTCGAGACGGGCCGGGCTGCGAGATATCCGGCTGTGACGACTCTGGTGCGTCCTCTAGCTGCGAGGGACCGAGCTCAACCGCCTCCTCTTCTCTGTCCTCATCCCCTTCTTCCTCCTCATCTCCTTCCTCCGCCTCTTTGTCTTGCTCGCCCTCCTCGTCACCCACCTCCCCTTCTTCATCCCCCTCTTGGTGGGCATGAGCATGTTCGACCACATCAGTCGACCTGCAGCCGAGCCTTGCTGCCAACTTCCGACATCGCTGCCGTAGTCTCTGCATAAAAAATAATCCATGTTAAGTTATCGCTTTTGGAAGAAAACACCGTAGTTTCATCTCTTTCCAACGATTACCTGTAGGGCGTTGCGGAGGGTGCCGCCCTCTCCTTCGGAGCCAGGAGCCGTGCCTAGCGCCATTCCCGCGTCGTTGACGGTCCGCAAGAGCTCTCGAGCCTGTAGGATTGAAATGAAGTAAGTCACAACATATATGGCATTGAAATGAAATAATATACAACATTAATGCTAGAAACTAACCACTCTGTCGCGAACAGGTCCCGTCTCGACCGTGGTACCTAGACGGGTACGAGTATCATGTGGGACCGTCGGTTGGCTGAGCCTTTGTATGCTTTGTCCATATCGTTCTTCAACCTTCTTGTCCTTCTTCTTCCTCGTGTGTTGTTCTGTAACGACAAGTCGGGCACGAAGAACTCTCCATCATAACTTGGCCACTGCGATGGATCTAGGTAAGGTTCAAACCTAGGGGAGTACGAGTCCTGCACAGCCTTATTGGAAGCTTCATAACACATTCGGGGGGCCACCTCCACATCCAAACCTCGCAACTTACAAACGGTTATCATGTGGGAGCATGGCAAGTGATGGAGCTGAGGGAACTGACAACTACATGTGTTATCTCTCGCAACCACGACGTAGTGACGTCCACCCCATTGAACCCCAGCCGCCGTGACTCCGCCTTGCTCGCTGACCTCATACTTCATCGAAGGGAAATCAAAACATGCTGCCCTTTGCCCCAAGGTTCGTCTTTGCTGCTCCTCCAACATGTCCTTAACTTTTGTGGGCCACTTCTTTCCACACAGGATATCTACAGTTGCCTCTTTGTGTCTATCGACAAACCAACTATTGCACTTCGAAAATGTGTATGCCACAATAGCTGTAACCGGCAGTTTCCGAATGCCTCTCAATACATTATTGAAACTCTCGGCCATATTACTAGTCATGATGCTATGACGACGCCCGTTGGTATCAAATGCTCTTGCCCATTTGACCTTAAGTGGCATATGGTCTTCTAGCCACTTCTTTGGCCTCTCTCCGACCACACCCATGAGGCGTTTGATCTCATCTAGGAACAATGCTTTCTCATTTATTTGACATATGCGCTCAAGATCTTTCATCTGATCAGTCGTAGCTCCAGCTGTGTAGAAGTTAGCACAGAAGTGCCTCATGCACCACCTGTGGTGAATGGTTAGGTGATGAGGCATGATGTGGATGATGGAGTTCAAAATGCCAGGGTGTCTATCAGAAATTATACACACTTCTCTATTAGGACCGATCAACTTGTTTCTCAACATGTTGATGAACCACTCCCAGTTGGATGTATTCTCCTTCTCTACCAGAGCAAACGCCAAGGGAACAAGATGTAACCCGGCGTCGACCCCTATTGCCGTGAGCAATGTACCTTGGTATTTACCGGTTAAGAAAGTGCCATCAATTGCTAGCACCGGCCTCAAGTGCTTGAATGCTTCTATGGACTGGCCAAATATCCAATATGCACGTCCAAATACTCGCCTCTGTACTCCATCCACCATCCTGGACTTCTCGGGATGAGCCTCAACACGGAAATGCATGGTAGGGTTCTTTGCTTTGATGGCACGCATCAGTGTAGGCAAGCGAACATACGCCTCGTCCCAATCTCCCCAAATGACCTTCATAGCAACTTGCTTAGCACGCCATGCTTTGCCATACGTAGGCCGATAGTGCCATATTTGCTCAACTGCCTCGACAATCGCTGCTGGAGATAAAGTTGGTTCAGCTCGCACAAATGCCTGTAACCTGTTTCCAATAAACCTTGAAGTAAGTTGCAAATGCTTGCCGGTTACTTCCGCACTACAGCATGTGTGGTCTTCGCCCACCCTAGTCACCCGCCACCTATCTCCTCCACTCTTCCTTGCATTAATCTGCCATTTGCAATGGCGATCGAGACAAGCCACAGTATACTTTACTGACGCGTTAGATTCCTTCACATGGTACGGCCGGTGGACACGGATAGAATAACTCTGTAGCCATATTTTCAGATCATCCATCGATCGAAACTCCAACCCCTTCCTTGGTTCATCACACATTGGTTCGAAGGCACCGTCATATTGTGGATCCCCATCAGCAATTGCTAGCCCAGATCTGGTAAGATCCTCGAATTATGTTATTTCCGGGTTTCTACCCACCAGTTTCGCAAACACAGTCCTTTCATGCTCTGACATCTTACGCACTGGACGATCATCATCGGAGTCGGAAGCGGACTCATCCAATTCATCCTCTGTATCATACTCCAACCAGCCTGGGTTCAATCCACTGCGTATCATAGCCTCCTCACACTCCTCTCGGGTATAGAATTTCAGCCTAGCCAACTCCCTTAGGCCCATACTTACATTCTTAGCATTCGCTTCTTCCTCAGGCAACTCCACATCATCTCCTACCTCCCGACCATCCTTAACATCTCCTTCCTCTCTTACCGGCACATTCTCCTCCACATTAACTTCCTCCCTTAACGGCACATTGTCCTCTGCATGTACTTCTTCCCTTAACGGCACATTCTCCTCTGCATGTACTTCCTCCTTTACCGGGTCATTCTCTTCCCTGACCTCCACATCCGCCATATCATTTACTCCCTCGCCCCCCTCCACGTCTTCCTCAATCAATTCTTCCTTCCTACTACACCTCTCCGACAGTTCGTGACAGCTAATGGATGATTCTATGAGTGGACTTTCATTAAGGTCTATAAGTTCTTTCTTCCCTATCCTACCATCTTTCTTCCATGCAAACACCTCAAGAGATTTGAAATGTGACCCCAATACTATATCTATATATGTTTGCCATTCGATCTCTCCATTCAAGTCTAACATAAATTTATGTGACATGACACCGCCGCCCACATCGTATCTCCCTTGCATACCAACCGACTCATCATTCCAATCCAATTCATGCTTGATGCGAGACATTAACTCCTCAAAGGTAGGCTTCGCAAAAAACACTAATTGTCTAACTGTCATTCCCTCAAATTGGCTTCCATGTGTACTTTCATCTACCACACAACCACCATAATGAAGCCGGACCAATCTATCCATCTACAATTTTTAACCCATGCATAAACATTAATTACTTGAAAATAATATGTAATTACCATTGCAATACCAATACTTCAAAAGCTAACAACATGTCTAATTTTTCCAATAAATAAGTACATTACTCAAATACTACACATTATTGATAAAAAAAAACTCTACTCCTACAAATTACCTACCCTTCACCACACATCAACCCCTTTCAAACCCTCTCAATCACCACAAATCCATCCCACATCCTAGGCCATCACCACACATCCATCTCCCATCAAACCCTAGTGCATCACCAAACATCCATCCCAAATATATTTTGTGAAATGTATCAATAACAACCAAATGGATAAAGATATGCCACCTCCACACTTCATCCCCACCCATATTATCCATCTAATAATCCATCCTTAGCCAACTATTATCAAACCACGTCTACAACCAAAACAATGCAAAATATCCAATAAAACTTTGGGGAACTTAGGGTTTATAGAGGGGTTTACCTTCTCTTCCGATCCCAAACTCAATGCCGCACAAATCACCTTCGATTAGAGAGGTTTTTGGGGGAGATTGGGCGAGGAGAACGCGGTGGCGACCGAACCCTAGGCGGGCGGCTGGGGAAAAAATGGAGGAAGAACTAGCTGGGGCGGCCTCGGCCGGGCTCTAAGTAGCCAAGGTCAGCGCCAACTTACTTGGCTCTGAGGTTGGGCACCTCAGCGCCGAAGCAGTTGGCGCTGAGGTAGCTGCCACGTCAGCTAGGGGATCGGTGTCACACCCCGAAGTTTTCCTCCCAAGCCAAAATTGTAATTTTCAAATGACCCCAAGAAAATGCAGGTAAAATCAGGAGAAAACCCTAAGAAAGTAATGCAAATAATAATCGGACTTGACATGTGGAATTTTTCTTGAGTTCTACATGTCAAAATTCATTAACAGGATTTTTAGTGGAATTTTCAGAGCTCTAGAAATAATTTTAACCAATTAAAATTGAGCAAGCAATATTTTATTCCAGGGAAAATCCTTTTTCCTTTTTCTTTTTCTTTTTCCTCTCTTTTTCCTCCTTTTTGTCAAATGGGCCGTCGGCCCATTTCTCCTTTTCTTCCCCCCCCCTCTCTGTTGGGCCGGCCGCAGGCCGAGGCCCAGCCCGGCAGCCGGCCGCCCGCCTCCCTCCCTCCCGGGGTCGCCGACAGGTGGGACCCACCTGTCAGACCCGTCTCCCACCTCCCGCCGATCCCGGCGCGCCGCCGCGCCCGCAACCGTCGCCGCGCCCACGCCTCCGCCTTCCCCGGGCCACGTCGGCCACGTCCGCGCGTGCGCCGCGCTCTCCGCGCCCATTCCCCTCTCTCTCCCGCTCGCGCCCGCTCCCGAGATGGCCGGGATTCGAAAACCGAATCCCGCCTCTCTCTCCTCCCCACTCCCCCGCGTCGGCGGCGATTCCCGCCGCTCCCGGCCACGTCCGGTTCCCTCTCCCCCTATTTAAGCATCGCCGGCACCCCCTCTCGCTTTTTCCCCATTTCGCCGACCTCTCCCGAGCTCCCCATCGCTCCCGCGCCGTGCAAACACCCGCCGCCGCCGTTTTTGCTACTTCGGCCGCCGCTAGCCGCCGCTAGGCTCGCCGCCGTCTTGCGCCGTCGTCGCCGTTAGCTTCGCGCGGCCGAGGTCCACCTCGTCCACCCCTCCTCCGTCGAGGTTCGTCGCCGGAGCCCTCATCCCCACGCGCACGGGTGAGCACCATCTCTACCGCCGCTTTCGGCCTCGGATGCCGGTCGCCGTTGTCCATCTCCCTCTCTCTAATCCCTCTCTTCTCCTTCCTTAGGGCACGCCGAAGCTCGTCCGCCGGTCGCCGTCGCCTCCCGTGGCCTGCCGTCGCCGTTCGCCATCGTCTTCCTCCGCGCCGGCCACCCTCGGTGAGGCATCTCCTCTCCTCTCCTTCCCCGTTTCCCCGTGCGTCGCCGCCACCCGCGCTCGCCGTCGCTTTGGGTCGTTGCCGCCGTCCGCTGCCGCCGCTTTTGCGTCGCCTCCGCCGCCGGGTGCCGTCGCCGGCAACCCGTTCGCGCGCGCGCCGTCGCCGTCGCCGCGGCCGGTCGGCCGGTCTTGAGCCGGGTCGCGCCGAGTGCCGCCGCCCCTTCCTTTCCCTCTCCCGCGCCACTGACCTGTGGGTCCCGCGTGCCAACGCCTCCTCTCTCCTCCCCGTGTCGCTGACCGGTGGGCCCCGCATGTCGGCGCCGCGCCACCTGTGCTGAC